ACGACGACCCGGAAGCCCAGAAGTATCGGGCGCCATAACCAGACGGTCCTGTACTTTATCTTTGTCTTATCTCGGTCGCGAAACGGCTGCAGCTTCGTCGTGGGACATCCCCGTTCAATACGCCGCTACTGGAACAAGCGTCCGCACACAGAAGAGCAGAATAACACAAAAACCACGTAGGTATAAATGTAATATCGTTACCGGCGACGTGTACTTTCAAAAAAAAAAAAAAAAAACGTATTGCGCCGACGCCGGTCCCACGATTTAATATCGACGGGAATATCGTCGTAACGTAGGCATTGTCAATAGGACCCGAATAACACGATAACATATATCGGTCCCGACCGATGGACATTCGTATTATTTTCGTTCGGTACCGCAGGTATATTGTGAACGGCGGTGCGGTGTTCGTCCGCTCATCGGTTCGTCGATGTCCGTTTTAAAAGAAAAAAAAAAAACCAACAAAAACCTACACGTGGGCGTATGGGCGACGACTATTATGATATACCCGGGTTTTTTTTTTTTTTTTTTTTTTTATTATTCTCCTACCGCGGGCGGACGCCGCACTACGATTATTTTCGTGTACACAATAACATTACGGCAGTCGTGACGTATTAACCCGGCACAGTCGGTTTTTCAACGGCCGGAATTCAGTGCGTTACAAATTGTGACGCGTACGTACGCGTGTACGGGACGACGGCAACGTATCGTACCGTCCGGGTACCCGCGTAGACTCGCGCGACAACTCGACGACTCATTGTTAACGTGTTACACGCTATATGCACACACGTGTATATATTTAACGATAACGATAACGGTGATGATAACGACGATAGTGTCACCGTAATACGCGCGCGTCGCCGCCGATTTTCCGGGTCTTTTTCAACGCCCTCCGCCGACGGGTTCTTTCGACGCACGCCGCTAACCGCGTACGCGTCGGCTCCGTCGCGTTAATTTTGCGTTTTTTTTTTTATCGATTCGGAAATGACGCGCGGTTCGCGCAGAACGCCGTATTGATAACGACGACAACAACGCTAATACGATATCGTTTTTTGTTTTTTTTTTCCGCGGACCGACCGGACGCGCAACACCGCGGTTACGGTACGGATGCGGCGGGGGCGTCACATACACGGACGTTAAACAACAGCACCGCTGTCGCGTCTTGAGGGCGTTGTTGGTGTCGAATGTCGCGGAGAACACGAGCATCGTGACGACACGCTGCAGAGTCGTACGGCGGCAACGGTCGCAATGGATCGATCGGCTGACGAATCGTTTTGTGTTGTTGCATTCTGTTTCGCTCGCTCGATACGCGCGTGCACGACGCGTGCGTGTATTATATTGGGGCGGTTTTTTTTTTTTTTTTTTTTTTTTATATTCAATTTCCCATCGTTGTATTATGTTCAAAACTATAAAAAAAAAAGAGAAATAAAAATAACATTCCTCCGTAGTTTCATATTAACATCGGTCGACCATAAGCCGCGTGCCGCCTCAAAACGGTTGAAAATACCCGAAAAATGTGTGCGGTTTTTTTTTTTTTCGTTGCAACTGTGGCCTAAAATATAATATCTGTGACAAGTAAAGAATTGAACATTTTTCACATTATATACCGATATTGTCGAGTGCAGCACTTTTTTCGTTTCATTCGCCCGCGAAATAACAAAACTAATATTGAGACCTAAAATAAATATAAAAAAAAAATGGCCGTCCTAAGATAATGGCGACAGGTGCAGTCACTGGGAAAACTTGTGGGAAAATCGGAAAACGAACCTCATTAAAATACCATTCCCAGTCAGATTTCCTTTCATAGAAAAATCGCTATCGTTATAAATCGCGGAGCGAACGCCGGTAGAAAAGTTGTCCGTAGAGAAAAAAAAAAAAAATACTAATAAAAAACAATAACATCATTATAAAACCATAAGCTCCTTCGCTCCGTCCGGAATCTAAAATACACTTACCCTCTTGGATTTAAGGTCGACTAATTAACGCCGAAACTTCGCGCGATATAAATGTATATTCAAAATATTTTCCAACAGACTATACGGCGACGGTCCGATTGAATAAAAAATAAAGACTCCCCCCCGCCCCCCGTCCCGTTAATATATATATCCGGGCGAATGTAAACATAGCCCAAAGTATAGCAGTTAAACATTCCATTAAATCGCTTTGTACGGCGTTTCCGCCGGTGTTTTCGCCGTCGAACGCGGATAAAAGCAATCGTTTTATTACGTGAATGCGCCCGCCGTCTAGTCACGTATACCCGTATTATTTTCCGGACTGCGGAAAAACGGGCGGCGCTCGGGTTCCGTTGGGCGACGGCCGTCGCCGCACGCAACAATCGTCCGTAGATGCGGAAACTTGTTAACAATAATAACGGCGACGCGCCGGTTATTCGCGATTTTCTCCGTTTAAACTCCGTCCCCGGCCTCTGTACCGTGTTCGCGTCTACGCGTCACGTCGGAAAAACGAGCGCGCGGCGCCCGCGCCGGAACGAGACGAGAATCAAAAACACAACCGTGTCGCACTAAACCGCCGAAATCCCCCGGGTCAACGCGGGTGCCGCGGTCAACGGATATAATACGCCACGGACGTGTTCACGCAACGCGTCTGCGCGATATTCAATCCGGAACTGTATCGCGTAAAAATTCCGAACGGTTCAATCTTAACGGCGAGTTAAGCGAATTGAGATCGCGAACCGAAATATGTATTATTGTTAATGAACTCGTGAGTCCTGACAAAAAAATCGAGGACACCTCACGAAGACAAAACAATCGTACGACGGGAGACGAAACGCCGGGACGGTGAATAGAGCCGTACGAGAATACGCGAAAAACGGTTTGATTGAAAATATCGATCGATTTATCAAACGTCACGTCGCGGTCATGCTTGCGGGGACGAAACGACTAACCCGCGGTACGAGCTTTTCAAATAGAAACCTATACATTACGAATTCCATGGAAAAAAAAAAAATGCAGTTTCACATTGAACACACTTCGCCGACAAGATTTTTCGCTTTTGAGTTTTCGGCAAAGGGGGAAGAGTTGTATACGGCGAACCGTCACGTTCGTGTCGCCACGAGAAATTAAAAACCGTTTTTTTCGGATTTCGTTTTTAATAACACTGTACAATATTATACCCTAGTGGTGCTGTATAGTTATTATTTCCCGGTTGAAAAAAAAAAACTGTTTAAAAAGCACCGCCGCCGGGCCGCCCGCAACTACAACGGCGGCGGTGGATGTTATCGTCACACGTGTACTACTCTATACTCGCGTCGTTGATCTTTTTATCCGATAAGAGAGTAGAAAAAAAAAAAACCCCCGGCGAGAGACCTGCATAACTGCAGCGGCAATAGGCGGGCAGGTACATCAATTACACACGAAAAGAGTTTAGAGAGAGAGAGAGAGAGAGAGACAGAGAGAGAGACAGCGAGAGAGAAAAGGTATACGTATATTAATAATAATAATAATAATAATACCAGATACATTATGAATGACCAGCTGCGAGATGGTATCACGCTGCGACAACCGTATAACGATATATTTTATCATTATCATTATTATTATTATTATTATACGAGTATGATAAGTGGTCGACGAGAATACAAATGTAACGATCATATATTACAATATACCGCGTGTGCGTGTGCGTTTGTGTGTGCGCGCGTTTGTGTGCGTGTGCGTTTGTGTGTGCGCGCGTGTGTGTGTGTGTGTGCGCGCGCGGTATGATATTACGATACGGTTCTCGCATGCCTACGGACCGCCGCCGCGGCCACCGGTTCTCGCCGGTAGGTATCCGTGCGCCACTCGAACCCACGGCGCACCGGCGTAAAGAGAACATTGTTGTTATACCCGAGCGTTACCGGGTGGACGCGCGGGCGCGCGCGTTATTATCGTTACGGTCTGTAGTGGCCGCAGTCATAATATTGTACGGACATACCGCGGGGCCGGGCGAACCGGGTCGCGCGCGCGCGCGTTCGGAGTACGTCGTACGGTAATACGGTGCACGCGTGGTCGTCGTTTTTATCCATTCGAGAAACGGCGCGGCGTACTTTTACTCCCGGCCGGTAACGTCGTAGCGGCGTGTGAGTGATGATTTTGATTTTTTTTTTATCGAAAACGACAACGGACGTCGGAAAACACGGTTTCGGCCTATATTTCGTAGGATTCGGCCGTACACACGGGGCGCGCGACAGTCGATTATAAACCGTTAGGTGCGTGCGGTCGGGGGCCGCGCCTGGGGGGTGCGGCCGGCGCACGGTTACACACCGTAGGGATTTTTACAGCTCTCCGCGATTGAATATTTTTTACGACCGACAGACGGGTCGAACCTTTTTTTTTTTTTCATTTTTTTTTTATGCTTACCGGTAAAGTAAATTTTTCCGGCGCCGGACGTCGATTACGCCAGGCGCGGCACTGGGCACAATATTAGTTCGACCCGGAGGGAAACGTCTAAACGCATCGCTATTGTCGATATCATCGTAATCAAACGCCGTCGCCGTTCGCCACTGTCACCTTTGAATAATCGTTTTGCGTATTTTTACATTATTCAAAAGCCCGTCCGCGGTGCCGGGAAAATATCCGACACGCACGCACCGCCGTACCGTCGCACGCTCTCGTATAGGCGCAGTTTTCTTATAGTTATAAAAAAAAAAATTACGTCGGTAAACGGCCCGGGGGAAAAAACCGACCGTTCATCAACGGACAAATTATGTCGGACTACGTGTAATAACATAAAAACAATATTGATCGAGTACGGGTATGTGTACCTAGTTTAGACAATGTGTCGGACACTGGACCTGCTGAAATGCAGAACGGTTACCGCACGGACTATAGCCACGCACGGTGCCCTAGCAATGGACTAGATCGAGGCGTTGTTGGACAGGTGAGGGGCTTTTCGAAAGACGTTTTCGGCCTTTAGGACTGTAATACGATATCTTGCCACGGGCATTGGGAGTTCTATTTACGCCACTGCACGTGTATAACATATTACGGAAGTCCGACGGAATGACGAACCGGGTTCTAAAACGGAAACCCGAATCGCAGACGATCACGGGCTTTGTAAGTTAAACGAATATTACTGTCGGGAGGATAGAATATTTTACGCGTACGGGTAATAATAGCCGTACTCGAATTATAAAGATATGACAAGTGCAGGGCTACGAGGCTTCAACAAAAATGAACGTCCCTTATATCGATTGAACTCGATCTGACCCGCGGATAATTAGTATAGAGGCACACGGTACGATTTCTGATTAAATCGTCTGCAGCGTAAACGGTTCCCGTGCATCCCCTCTCCTTCAATTCGAACACTGCAAGTAAGTATTATTATAGGCAATCAATGGTCGGAAATCACTACTTTACATTTAGTACGTTACCACTGTCGCTACGTTTCTAACAAATAAAAATGTTCTCAACAACCGTCGCTAATCGGGTTTATAAGTGTAAGGGGCTACGAAATTCGCTTTTTTATTTTAATTGCACTCTGTGAGCTACATCATTTTACTTTACTATAGACTAAAATACAAAAAAAACCTCGAAACGATTCAATTTTTCTTTAAACTCGAAATTTTATTTGCGAAATTTACACTGTTTTCATATGAACTTTCATGTAAAAACACTTGTTACCGCGCTATACAGTACGCTACTTACCAAAATTAAATCGTACGCTACCAGTATCGCTCACAGCAGGATTTAGTACAAAGCGCAAAATCCAATAAGCTCTTAAATATTAAAGGTCCCGGAGATCCTAGTTCTCAGATTGAATATTCGTAATAACATTTTATTGTTTATTGAAAATGTGCAAATCCTAATTTGATTTTTACAATATCTTTTATATTTATTTGGCTCGAATGCTCGGTATAAATATTTGTACAATATTTGCATCTTTAACTTTGTGTCTGAGGCCTATTAGTTTCAAAAGGAAAATACTGAAAAAAGACGAGAGTATTTTATCTATAAAATATCATATTTTAATTTTTACATTTGAATAGTAACACTACTGTTATACTATAGGACATTTTGTCACGAATATCTCGGATAGGAAAATTACGTGGGAAAACGTCCAAGAGGAAGACCCGGACAATTGTACTTCAACATCAGAAACACCGAATGTGCTTCACTTCGTACTTGCAACACCCGGAGGATTCGGCGCACGGTAGAGAAGTTTGGTTGCATTGATAAGACCTTGCATTTGAAAACCGATGACGATGAAGATGAAATAGCGTAAGGGCCTTCGGACTATTACCGGGCTCCGGTAATTACACGGACGTGCACAGATTTTGTTCACGAGGTATGCGGCTAATAAAACGAGCCCCCCGGGACATAAAGGCCCCTGAAATGAATGTGCATGGCACCGCGTTAAACAAACATACTTATTACGGTTACTACATTTTTTCAGAAAATGATAGGTTTTTCATATTTTTTTATCATAGCAAAATAAAAGCATATATTTATAAAACGTGTTTACTAAAATTCATTTATACATTATTTATTACAATATCCAAGCCTTTTCATTCCTCGTGTAGTTTACAAAGTCATTGTTATGTGTACGACTAATCTAATTAATATTCATAGCAGAAATAAAATATATCAAACGTAAGCCAAAGTAATTCGACAACAACCGCGCGGTAATGATATTTACGCCGAAAATAATACGCAATTCAAATAATATTTCCTTCGATTATTGGGAACGTTTCCGGCGCTCATAGTTAATTTCAAAACAAGTCTATACGTTTTCATCGTCGCCATTATTAAATGAGATTCTATCTATAGCAATGAACATTAGTTGTATCCGTAATATACTGACCGTTACACAGGACTATAGGAGATATGTAACTATTCCGAAATTGTTGTAGAAATAATTCAGTCTATAACATACAGTGTTCGATCACTCACAGTCGTGTCACGTATAGTGCGTTAAAAAGAGCTTCAGTTTCTATTTTTTTTTTTTTTTTTAATATGAAAGCTTACGAACAATATTCAAATCGCAAAAACACGGAATCTCTACAATAATACTTGAGCCAACTCGGAGGCAGACACCGAGGCATATCGATTTAATTTACTATCACTATCAAATTCACGATAGGCGGTGACCGGGAAGTATTAATTTTTGATTGTCGTGTAGTATCGTTGTTATTACCGTCAAACAGATCAACACAATTCGACTGTTATTTGACTGCTACGAAACCACGTTATTTTCGAAATTTCCACACCGTAATTTCGAATTATTATAATTGTTTAAACAAGCATTTCTCCCGTACAATGTGGTCGAAAATCGAAAACGGCAACGTGTCTACGCTCGATCGCGCACAGGTACTTTCCTTCGGTACGCCCGTTCGCGTCGTGAAAAAAGCCGTTTCGCGCTCGCGCGCCCGCCGGAACGGGCGTCGGCAAGCGCATACCGTCTGGCGCGGCGCGCTCCTGCGGCCCGGTGCGCGGACCGACGGCGCCGGGGGTCCGCCGTCCCTAAACCGGATCCGGCCGCAGGGAAACGCGAGAGGCACGGCGTAGTCGGCGCACTTCCGACCGCCGAACTCGCGTGCGGGTAAAACAACGACGGCGCGGGTAGCTTACGACACGCGACGGTATCGCCGTCGTCGGATTAACCGTCCGTTATTCAACTGCGTACCGTGTAATGATTACGATAAATAACAACGCGGTTTCCAATTAGTTAGAGATTACAACGTAATATCGTTCCGATCGCTCGCGCAGTAATAACGCGTGCGCGTACGCCGCGGCGGTCGGCAGCCCCGCGCGGCGGAATGCCGACGGAGTCGGATTAGCCCCGGCGCCTCAGGCACGTCGCGCGCGACTCACGCGGTTCCCGGCTTGTGAGAGCGACGCGGGCGAGAGCGGGTGTTCGAAGTGCGCGTTCGGTGCTGTTATTCGCGCGTTGGTACAGGGTGTCCCGGCATGGATATCCCGGAAAGCGTCGACGGTCCTCTCTTTGTTCTTGTTTCTCTTTCCCCGGCCGACCGTTCGAGGAACGGCATCGCGCGTCGATGCGGCGGGCCGCCGTACGGAGAACCCGAAAGCGCGGAAAGAAAAAAAAGGGCGACGACGAAAGGCGACGGCGGCGGTGTGACGTTGCGGAAACCGGGGGTCGTGTGTTGAACTGTCGGCGGGAAAAAAAACCGAGTGCTCACGTGTCCCGGGATATCGCGACGGCCGTAACGACACACGCTGTGCCGTCTTCGCGCGACGCCCTGTATACGCCTATGGTCCGCCGTAATTTATACGCGTGCGGCACACGCGCTCGGGAACAGCCGTCGCCAACGATATTCCGTATAATAATATTATACGACCGACAAAATAATATTCCGGTCGTCCGAATGAAACGCAATATTTTTTTTTTTCTTTTTCTTTCGGATCAAAGTCGCCGGCGTCGACGCGACGACGGTGGCGACACGACCGACGTAATGACGTATCGCAGCGGCTGTGTCGTTACCGCGTTATATGTGTTTTGTCAACGTAACGAACGGAACGGATCGCTCGTCAGTGAATAAGTACGTGCACAAAATGCGTATACGCGCGGTAAGAAAAACGAAAAAAAAAAAAAGCCCCCTTAATAATCGCACGCGCTATACGTAAAATCGCCAATAAGATAACCCTTTCGCCCCACTCCCCGGAATAACACCCGACGAAATACGCGCAAATTAAAAAAAAAAAAAAAAAGACTCGAATACTTTGCGCACCGTGTGCGGGCCCCTGTTGTAGGCGGAAAGTCGGCAAGGTATAGGATTTACTAAAGAGGGCCATTCAATTTATATCCGTCACGATAAACCGTTGCTGACGCAAAACGATTCGAAGCGACATTTCTTTGTGCGTAAATTTCCCTGCGCATGGTTGTATATACTACTAGTGTGTATAGTGTAGAATTATTACAGTTCGTTTTTCTCTTATCCGGATACCTACGTCGAATGTAAAACATAGATAATCGTCGCTATCGTCGTGTTATAACATAAGATTCATTAAAATTTAGGTTACTGGATTTTACGAGATTGACAAAAATAAAAAATATGTTTCATTACACGAGTCGAAAGAAGAAAAAAAACAAAACGAAATTCGTAGTTCCCTACGATCGTAAAATTACAACTCGAGAATTCATCAAGACCACAATATTCGAAGAACTATTGTAAATCGATATATAATTAACGATTTAGCGCGGACGACATCAGCGGGCTATTGACAGGCACGGAATTACAATTTTATCAGAATCTCTATGAGCAAGGAGTAGAAACGTAATGCAATACTGCGGGCGACATCGCATTACGATTGCAACGGGAAATCCGTTTGGAATCAAGAGAACGGCCTTACACACGCATGCGCGCCGTCTCGGTCCGATAATTGCAGGGCATAAACGCACAGCGAAACCCATCCTGCGCAGGCTGCGCGGGGCTCGCTCGGTTTCGGTTTTAGAGTAAAATCACCTGTTATGAAATTTAATGGCGGACGGGGCGATATGCCGGATGGCGAGACTGCGCGTTTTTCCCGTTGTTCCGGACGCGACGTGCAACACATCGTTCGGCAACGAAAACCGATCCGCCGTTTTTTAACCGGCTGTCGCATCGCGAAAAACAAATGTTAAACGCCCCCCCTCCCCCGCTCCGTTCAGCCCTCCGAAATATCGTCCGCTTTTGATTTTACGACGGGCGCGCGTACGCTCCGAAACCGAATGGCCAAGCGAGTTCTGCGCGCGTTCGGCGGCCCCGGCGGTAAAACATACGGGCGGGCGCGTGAAATGTTTGCGGGTCCGCGGAACCCGCAGACGATGTTACGCGTAGACGTGCGCGAGCGGGGATGGGTGGGGGGGGGACGGGGTGAAACGCGAAAAGGAACACGGCCGCGGGCGACACCGGCCGGCCGTTAAAACGCACGGGAGTACCGTCACCGTTGTTATCGGTTCTCGCGCCGTTTAGAGACCGTAGCCCGGGCGGTTTTTGTCCCGGTAAAACCGGTTCCTGGGGCCCCGTCGCCGGTCCGCGGCCACGGCCGGGGTACGCCGGGAGTGGCCGCGGTTCGAGTGCCGAAACGAACGTTCGCGAGGAGCCACCTCAGCCCGCGGCCGGCACGTCCGGACCGCGCAACGATAACGGCGACGCAATATCCGCCGCCGTCGCTGTCGGTTCTTCGCTATTTCCCGCGTACCGTTCGCCGGTTTTTACGGCTTGTCCGCACACGAGCAGCTGTACGTATCGCTATCGGGGTGAGATGGGGGACGTGGGACAAAACTGTATAACGCTGCGGCGGACGTAAGAGCGTACGCGTGTACATACAGGGCGATTCGTTTGTCGCGGTCCGGTTCGCATTTCTCGGAGGATTTTATTCGTTACGCGCGAGCGAGCGGCCGGGAAAGAGGGATTCCGAGACTGGACCGAAATCAGCGTCCTTGGCGACCGTCGAACATAACCCGACCCGTAATGCGTTGAAGCGTTTTTTTTTTTTTTTTATAAACGCTTCGGGTTCATATTTCATAGTAAAATAGACCCGTCGGCGGCGGCGGGTACCGGTACTGTTCGAGGGGTCGGATTTCATTAAAAAAAAAAAACATGCATATATATATATATATATACGTGTATAACATAATAAGACGTTGTATCGATAATTGTAGAATACGAAAATCGCATGAAAAACACGGCCCCGAGAGGGGCGATCGCCCTGACGCCCCTCCTTCGTACACGCCACTGCCACGTCCCGTGCGTTCCAGTTCGAACAAACAGTGTACTCGATCGATTTCGGTTTTAGAGTGAAATCACCTGTTATAGAACATTTTCCGATCGTTTTCAGGACAATATTCCGTACATCATGACACTGTGTGAGTACAATTTATATTTAAAGTCGATTTCGATCACGGACAACATTAGCCTATATTTCACGGAAACGCGCACATTTTTTCATTTTTTTTTTTTTTCTCTGCACGAATATTATTTTGTACAAATCGTCTCCCGTCGTTCGTGCATTACGTTTATGTTCGCCTGTAGGTATAATAAATCACTATGCGGTGTGACAAGGGTGCCCGCAGAAGTACAGACCGGACGGTGGGGTGTGGGGGTTGCGGAATCTAAAATTATTCCTAATTTCGATGTAAAAAAAACATAGTTTTATCTAAATTACCGTGCTACCGGCCGCGGCACGCGCCCCGGCCGCCCCCCGCCAAGGCCCTTATGTTTGTACACGGTGTTACATTACGCGCGCGGTTAAGATAAAACCCCCTCGCATAGGCCCGTA